AGATTTTTGTGCATCTAAATTTGCATAAACGAGAAAAATTATACCTATCAGCGAAGAGGACGATTTTGGCTATCAACTTGCATTATCTACAGTGTTATATTTGATGTAATTTTGCCCGATGAGTGTATAAACACAAGCGCGTCAAGCTCTCTACGGCATCGATCACTATTGGTCATTGTCTTACTTCCAAATATTTCCAAAGATTGAAAGAAGGTTTTTGAATGGCTCAGTTTTAGATTTTTGTTATTTTCAAACCTGTTGAAATAAAAAATACTATGAAATTTTTCGACTGATTTCAATGTGTTTCAAGGACTTGAAGCTCCAGATATAAACCCTACAGTCATGTACAGACAAGGTTGCCACCTAAACAAAAGCAAATGGCCTAAAATCTAATGTTTATGGACTCTCGCCATATTGCCTAAACAGCAATAACTACTCATTCTTCTCGTACTGAAAATCACCGTGACAGAATGTATAGTGAACGATATATGATGGGAGAATGTGATGCGAGTTGAATATAACAACCTCCTTTCCATCAGGAGACATATGTGAGTCATATCCCTGACGAAGAGATTCACCTTGTATGATGTATCGACAACGATAGACTTTTCCAGGCAGTACTTGGCATAGTAGCAGTTTGCTTGAGTCTTTGATGTAATTCATGGAATACCTTGGGTACTCACTGAAGTATACGCCTTTACCATACCACCCTAGAATGCAAATTGTTTATGGTAGATAATACTTTCAATGCCAAAATACAGAGGTGAGCACCTCCAATCTCTTTTCACAGGGACATGTAGAGACGATTTTCAGGAAGTTGGCCACTATCTGGATAAATAGCATTTTTGAAGACAACATGGAAAATAGAAAACACAGCATACGTAACTACTTTTCCTATAAAACTCCTTAGAGTATGAAATTCTGATAACGAATTGATGTCTCTGCATCTTCATGTTCAGATGCGGATTGAAAGTAACCTGTCATAAAGAATCTGGTGCCAGTGGCTGACGAGAAGCACTTAAGCGTGCCATGAATCCGCTTTTCCGTGCTATCTTCAAATTTTGCGGTACCGAAAGCTTTCTTTTCCCATATATTTGCAATTTGAAAAGCTCAGACGTTAGAACAGATATAGGGGGCTGTCTTTCCTTCAGTAAAACTACCTTGGTAAAACGATCAGAAATACAATGAAGTAAAGAAACAGTAGAGAAGTATCGAACACTTTAAAGAATACCAAAGAGGAACAGAAAACTACAAGCCTGCCCAAAATACTTGGAACACCCAGCCATATGCATTCCGTTTTATATCTTGTTTCTTTTTCCAAAAGTTTACTACGTCCGCCCCTTTCCCTTAAAACATCGCTGATAATCATACAAGAAACACGAAAGAAGATACCTCCTAATCTCCTACACTGTTTCATTGTAACAACACATCGTTCTGGAAAGGTAAGGAAAGGAGTTGACTGATACCAGTGTTCTAAGACTATTGGAAAGCATTGTAATCCAATGATAATATAGTTAGCCAATGAATTGAGAACCAGAATAAAAATATAACAGTACTTGATAATGAGTACATGCTCGCAAACGTCGTTTTTAACAATCAAACTATTATATTTTGATACTGGTAGTCAATTTATTGGCTAACTATATTATCGTTTGGATGAAGTACCACACGCAAGGTACATATTTTAATTGTAATCCATACCTGGGTCAGTAGCATGCTCAAAACCGTTCTCTCCTGGCACCCTAAAGCCTGTCTCGCAAATCGACTCAATGTTCTGCTCTTTGGTGCCATGGAAACCTAGAACTGGGTAAGAGCTGTCTTCACCTCGGACATTCACAATCTTTTGCCTGGCTTCCTTGAATCTATGAATAAGAGTTGGTTGCACGACGTATTCTACTTTTGTGACTTTGAATGCACTTCCCGGTGGAAGAAGTCGATAAAACTGCGATTCTAAACGGAATAACACTTTTAATTTTCTTTGTACAAAAATGACAAAGAGAGCTGTGACATTTAAATCAAGTCAAAAACATTTCTGAAGAAAATTACCAATGTCTAACAACATTACTACCAGATGGGAACTGAAAATCTTTATAATGCAAAAAAGAAGCAGTTTTCTTCATTTGTTTCTATCTAGCATCTGAAGATAGTAATAGGACACTGGGAAGCTATGCCCATTTGAGCAGGGTCCTTGACCTTCCTCTGGATGTGACCACACCTCGTGATTCCTACGCCTGGAATTGCAGATAGCTGGCAATGCCCCTCACTCTGGGTGACAGTTTGGTCGGGTCAGGGATTTAAGCCCCAGAAAGTTGGGTCTGTAGTCCGCGACCATCGCTAAGGCCCCTTTGTTCCTTAAAAAAGCTCTTGAAGTTTTGGCACTTCCTTAAAGGGGAACTGAAGTGAAAAATGAAAATCAATTATTTAGTAGTTTTCATCGTGCTGATTTCGAATATCGACACGAAATTAGTGTTTTTCTTTTCGTTTTCCTGCATTCACCACGCGAAGTGTGAAATTTCTCCATTTCGGTGGCGGAGAGGTCTGGAGACAAGTTTCAGGCGCTGACGTAAAGTCGTGGACACGTGCCCCGATCGCAACGAAAACAACATTGTAGTAGGTAGTAGAGTGAATCGGAGGGAGGGAATTCGGTTAGTGGTTAGAATTTCAGTTCGCAATTTTCACGACAGCTCTTCAGGAATAACAACAGACTTAAGATCGAGCGACGATGAATTTGGAGCATGTGGTGGTGAAGTACTTGCCCTACCAAGGGCGAACGGGAACTGCGAAAGTGGCGATGAAGATTAGCCTAGGCCCGATGAGATCCCAGAGGCTGAGGATGAATTATCTCCCGCGACGTGCTCGTTTTGTCGGTAGAAATGAGGAAGTAAATCAATGGTACGTCGATCTTTGTTTCTTTTCTGACAATGAAGGCAAGAACAGCTCAAACACAATTTCCTTATTTCCTTATAAAAAGTAAGATACAACTGAGAATGTAGGCTACATATTATAATCTTTCCATTTCTAAAATCTGAAATAATAAGGATTATTACATGTTACAATTTAATAAATATTTGTTTGATATAAAACGTTTATACATAGTTTGATGTGTAGCACGGAACAGGTCGACCTAATCCACTTTGGTTTAAAAACTGGCTTGTTTTTTGTACATTGACAAGTATTATTAAATCTTACTGCAATTAAGATTTTTGGACTGATAATTCGAAAATGTCAAATATTTAATAGAATTGCATAAATATGCCTAAAATACATTAATACCTAAAATTATATCCATTTTGCTAGGTATCTACAAACAGTGGCCGATCAATGGATGGTTTGCTGGTTTTTGGGTATTTGTGCTGGAAAAACTGGACAACTTTAAGTATGAATTTATCACAAAATGTAAAGAAAAGAACTTTAGTCAAAGATAACAAGAGTTTCAAAATTCTGCAGAGAGACAATGAAAATGCAAAACTCAGCTACCTACTACATATACAGTGGAGTACAGGGTTATATACAGGGGTTATTCCAAGGGACCAGACTTTCAGTTCATAATAGCAAGAAGAGAAATTTAGAACTAGTGGGGTCATGTTATAAGTTAGAAATTTGTTAAAACTAGTGGGGCAATGGCCAAATCTTGTCAGCCCTAGGCCAAATCACTAGATTAGTCACATCAAGGGGGGGGGGAGGGGTTGGGGATTGAGCAAGGCTTGATATTTTCAAGATTCCTAAGGTATATTTTTCAAGATATTTTACTCACATCAAAATGTGTAGAATAGTTTGGATTTGATAAAGTTTTTCTCTTCCAATAATGGTCCTGTACCACCTGCTTGGTAACATTTTTTATACATAATCAGAAGAAAATGTTTTACGTTCACAGTACAATGTTCTTTTAATGTATTCTGTCCCTGCCTGTTGTTTAGATACACTGTTTTCAAATTTTGAGAATGAAGTTTTTTGGTGCCCAATGGTTATATTTTTCTGAAATTTGCTTAACTCAACATTTTTCATAGAACAGTTATGAGATAGAAACCCTGACATATCTTTTGTTAAGATAAGGTCTTTTAATAAACTTGGAAACATATACATCATTTAATGGTTGTGCTTTAAATCCTTCTCCTTTATGTACATCCTGGTATGAATTGTTTTTTGTGCCTGGAGTTATACCAGAAAATGCTTTGATATCATGTTCTATAGACAAAGCATGAGAAATCATGTTTAAAGGGGTATTTCTGAGGTGGGGGACTACTTTTGTCTTTTTCAGCAAACCGAATTGTGTAGGTTTGGCAAGTTTCATGGCTCTACAGCTAACAGAAATGGATTAACCAGAGTTATGTCCTCTGAGTGCTGGGCACAGGACCCCCGTTCTAAAACTAGCAAAAGAGGTATTTCTGAAGTGGGGACCACTCAATCATTTTCTGCAAGTAAATTATGTGGGTTTGCCAAGTTTCATGGCTGTATAGTTAACAGAAATAGATTTACCATACTAATGTATTCTGAGTACTGGGCACAAGTACCCCAGTCTTAAAATAGCACAAGGGGTATTTCTGAGGGTGGGGACCATTCTTATCATTTTCAGCAAGTCAAATTGTGTCGGTTTGCCAAGTTTCATGGCTGTATAGTTAACAGAAATAGATTGACCATACTAACGTATTTTGAGTACTGAGCACAAGTACCCCAGTCTAAAAATAGCACAAGGGGTATTTCTGAGGATGGGGACCATTCTTATCATTTTCAGCAAGTCAAATTGTGTCGGTTTGCCAAGTTTCATGGTTGTATAGTTAACAGAAATAGATTGACCATACTAACGTATTTTGAGTACTGGGCACAAGTACCCCAGTCTAAAAATAGCACAAGGGGTATTTCTGAGGATGGGGACCATTCTTATCATTTTCACCAAGTCAAATTGTGTCGGTTTGCCAAGTTTCATGGTTGTATAGTTAACAGAAATAGATTTACCATACTAACGTATTCTGAGTACTGGGCACAAGTACCCCAGGCTAAAAATAGCACAAGAGTTTTTTCCCAAAATGATTCTATATTCTATCTTGTTACGCATACCGAATTCTATATTTTCACCAAGTTTCATGCTTTTATCACAATTTTCACGATTGTTATCTGTCATGAACCTTATCAAACTCACTACTACATTACATCAAAACATCTCTTCGTGTCCACCACTTTACGTCACAAGGTCACGTGACACAGTGGTCCGACCGCGTTCTCGCTCCGCCATCGATGAGGGCAAATTTCGACTTTAAAAACTTAATAACTTAAAAACTACATAACGTATTAAAAAAATTCAAACAGTTTTGGAATCAGCACGGGAACCTTTATCAGTGGTAAAAAAATCGTTTTTCACTTCAGTTCCCTTCCTTAATGTAGAGAATCAAATAATTTAGGTTTTAACCAAAGCAATACCAAAGGTTATGGTATATGCACATAACCAAAGCAAACTGCCTTACGAGGTTTGAAAAATGAAAGTAAAGGCCATTTATCATTTTAAGCTTTGGGAAAATTCTGGTAAATGACTGGAATTCACGTTACCAGAAGTGTGAAAATACATGTTCATCAAAATTTCAACTTTCGACTTTTTCAAATCCAATAATACCAGCATTAGCTTCAGTGGCGTGCTGGGGAAGAGATCGCAGGGGGGGGGGGCAAAGGGTCAAAATGGCGCCCCACGTATCTTCCAATTTTCCTTCAAAGTGTTGGAAATGTGCAGAAAAGTACAAGAGTTCGGAAACACGCCGATCTAACTATCTATCTATCTATCTATCTGTGAGGGGGGGCGGGGGTGGGTACTGTAAGATCTTCAAATGAGGGGAGAGGGGGTAGGTAATTACTGACAGGACGTGATAGAGAATTTTCAAATAGAGCATGTTATTTTTGTTAAAACTTAACATTATTTTTTAGTATCGTTGTAGCGGCTGTATCATCAAACTGTACAACAATGATAATCAGGAACGTTACTATTGAGGGAGGTTGGGGGTAGGGAGGGGGCGGAAAGATCGTTCAGGAGTTTAGTGAAGGCGGCCACCATCGTTGGCGGCAACAACTTACAAAGAAGATGTGCTAGGGATGGTCGGAAAATGCATCCAAATATTTACAATACACTATAGACTCATGGAAAGTCCTTGAGAATACCTATAAGCTTTCTTCCAAATATGACCCCCAGGCCGTTGCGATGTAGGCCTGTTTGGTTTTACTACGAATTTGCCGGATTGAAAACCATCCTCTGCAATACATTGTGTCGATTCACAACATCTATTTACATATTATCATCAGACCTTCCAACCCTTTAGATCCATATATCGGAACAAGCCCAAGATATAACTACACTGTTCGGGGCGGCACCCCTTGCCGCCGAAGGAGAAAAACTTTGAATTTTAATGCTTCCAGTTTGCTGGAAAATGCACTTTTTGAAGCACTTTTTCAATAACGCAAGCTTTCTCTTCAATAAATATCCACAGGCTGAAAGCTATTTGATGGTTTTAATCGATTTTTCGGGTTTCGTTGTTAAATCTTTTAGCTTATGCAACACAATTTTCTTCAGATTGGGACATAACCTCTCCGCTTTTTCTTCCTAGCATTTCTTTTCATGAAAGTATTTCATAACTTCTTGCACCCTCTCAATATTTTTATGAAATGGCGCCTTATCTGAACTTCTACCTCCAAGCCAAAAATTTTTTGACAGGCTCCTTAAAACACTCCCCACACCCTACCTCGGTACGCCCATGGTATCTACTTTGCGTAAAAATCATTTAGATTTAGCGTGAGATGGTGTTTGACGATCGTTGCTCTGTACATCAAAGTGAGTAAGGAAAAAGAAGTGGTATGTTGGAAGGTGATTCTTGTTCTTTTCGAAGCGATTTATCGTGGATTTTTATACAGTGTCTGCCTTTAGTATTGTTGTATTCTTTTATGTAAATTGCCCTAGTTCGGTAGCCATTATAACGTGAAAATCCATTTTGGCGCCCCTGATATTTGATCTGCAGGGGGGGGGGCAATTGCCGCCCTTGCCCCCCCTGCCAGCACGCCACTGATTAGCTTGCAGAAATGAGTAAAAAATCATGAAACATCAATGTGAAATGACCTATAAGCAAAAACGTATGCTTTATTGATTATAATTTGCTTCTCTGAAGTTTAATGATAGTTTTAGTTTTAGTTGTTTAGTTTTAGCAGTTGCTTTGTGCATTGTATGGTACAAGCAAGAAGTCTGATACAAGTACCCAATTCGAGAATACTGAATTCAATGAAATGCATATCGAGCTTGTACCAAAACACAGTGCAAACTGAAATTAGTTGTCAACAAAACATTCTTTATCCCTAAAAGTGTATATTTAGCCTCACCTGCTAAACGAAAATGGATCTCTGATGCAGAATCCTCTTGGTATTTTCTTTGTGGAAACAAAGGAAAATGTCTTATTTGTGTCCCAGTCATTGCCTCTGCCTCCCCATCAACAAGTAAAGAATTCCTGTCAAGCTTTAACCGCAGCATTTCTAGCTCCTCTGTCTTCGACTTCAGTACGTTTTCAGTGTCATTCAATTTTCTCATAAGATCTTGTTTCATCTCAAATGCTTTTTTCAGAAGTTCCTTTCTTTGTGCTTCAGTCAAAATAGAATATGATTTCATTATACTTGGTCCTCTTTTCATTATTGACTCATTTCTAGGAATACTGAAAAACAAATTAATGTTTGATCAATATGATTGTTTCTTTCTCATAACGACAGCTTGGAATATCAGTATTAGTGATCTTATTTAGTTTTCAATATGCTTTACAATACCCATGATAGCACTGCATGGAAACATAAATTAAAGGGGACCTTTCATAGGGGGACCATAAGCTGCAAAACAGTGCAAAAGGCAACCAAAAGCTACAATCCGCAATGAAATGAAGGGAAAAGACCAGAGAGCGGTGGCAGTGGCAGAACATGTCATGGCACAAAAAGTGAACTACTAACATATAATTTAGAGGGAAACATTGCTAGAAAAAACTGTATGACAATTTCTTGTGGTTCTCGCTCTCACTCACAGAACAAGCTATTGTTCAAACCATCATTGTTTAATTTTTGGAAACATAAATTAATCTTAAATGCCGTAAACCATGGCATTTTACACCAAAAGATGCAAGATGCATCTTCTTCTGAAGCTGCAATCTGCAGAGAACCAATCGCCAAATTTGTAGGCTGCATGTAGAAATAGAGTCAAGGTAGTGAATCCAAAAACCATTTATAGGTCCCCATTAAAGAAATGGCAGTGTAGGTAATCAATTTAGATTACATATTGAGCAAAAGAAAAGGCCTAGTAATAAGAGCTATTCATATAGAGATAGAAAAAGAAATAAGGAAAAGTGAGCTCAAAGAGGCACATTTGTTTTTTGGACAGTTATAAACAGCAATCTACAGATCTTGACAAGCATTTGGGAGGAGCCCAGAGGGGAGCAAGAGCTATGTCTCTCTTCAAATGGTGGAGGGCCTAATGTGTATGTTTGTGGCTCCTTTCTTGTTTACTACTCTCTTGTTTTGCTATCTTTTTTAAAAATGGGACATAACAGCTGCTTAAGCTCCTAATGAGCTAGAATGGGGGAAACAGCAACAAAAATAAAAAAGGTGGACTTAGGTTAGAACAAAAGCTTTCAAATACAAAGATAAAGATGTCCCCTGCAAAAGGCTTTCAACTTATAGCAGCTGAATGATAATTCTAAGCTTTGAATAGAAGTTAGAATCCTGAATGTAACTGTTCCATCCTTTGTTCTTATTCTTTTTAATTCTTTAGTCATATTATACTTGCTACTCTAGCTCAAAGCAACAGACTTTGACATATATTCAGTTAAATTTGGTAACAAAATCAGTGCTAGAAAACAAACCAATCAACTTCATCTTCTTCCTTCAGGCACTCATGAGTTTTTGGTGTGGATTCATTTGCCTTTGGTCTGCCTTGTTGCACAATAACTCCATTCTCTGGCCGTTCTGAATCGTGGCTTTCACTGGTGGATGTAGGGTGATAATAAAATGCAAAGTGAAGAAGGTTTCTGTCATAACAATTGACCCCATTCTTGCAGGGGGGCAGGCTCATTTGTTGAGACCCCTGCTTTGGTAGCAAGTGTCTATAAATTCTAAGATGTGAAGGACTTCGTCTATAGCACCCTGACCCATAAATACACAATGGTTTCTCATGCTGCTGCTCTTGTGGTTTTTCACTTTCCAGTTTAGGTCTTTTCTTTGGTATAATTTTCAGAACTTCTGAAACCTCCATATCTACAAAGTAAGTTTGAAAGAATTCTCTTTAGAATTCAGCCAGCGCAGTTTTACGCAGTGGGAAAACCCAAGAGATATTGTTGAAGTTTGAAGGAAGCCGACAACCCTAAAACTCTGCCCTTCAAGAATTATCTGAATCAATTTCCAATGTCAATTCATGGCTCAAACAGGGAAAAGGGTCAAATAAGGATACTGAGGTTTAAAACTAGCTTTTAATCTAGTCATCCCCATGGCCACAAAAATTCAACACTCTGGAATAGAAAGGCTTGCTTTCCAAGCAGGAGGGTAACCTGGAGTTGGCAGATTACAGTTGGCTAAAATAAGCACATTACACCCACAAAACAATATCTTGTTGTTAAAGATATTTCCTGAAAAATATGATTTTCTCTTAAATCTGTGGCAGGGACCACAGGAAGCAGGGGGCTGAGATGGCTTTAGCCCCCCCCCCCCAAATAACTTCTGAAATGTACTAAACACCATACAGAAGAATGACTTGCTCTTGGTTTTTAGCAGACTTAGAACCGCTTAGCCCCCCAAAACGTTTAGCCCCTCAATCTGTGATATGATCTGCAGTCCTTGATCTGGGGTGCAGAACTCCCTTTTACTGTTCCTTTTGTGATCTGAGGTCAAAGAGAATTCTCATCATGCCATAAGGTTCGGGTGAATGTAGATATTTTCATAGATATTATTCAATCATCTTCTTCTCACCCATGGGAATACTTCCAGGAGGCTCATGGGGTGGGCAGAATTTTGAAGGGTTTTTGTAATTTTTGGTTAACCAAGTTAAAAGGCTTTACTGGACCGTAAAAACGTTCCAAAATTTCCAGAATAAATTGAAATAATTGAACTCATATTTGAATCGCAGAAATTTGCATTTTTGCCCCAGGTCTAAGTCAAAAATGCACCCTGAGAACCCCAAACTTACAAAGACTTAAAATTTGCTTACTTCAGCCCTTACAAGACCCAAATGTTTTAAAGGTTTCCAGTTATTTGGAGAGAAATGCAAAAATATCAATGTGCCAAGGGCCAAGGGGTGCCAAGATTCTGTTGACAATTGACTCCTATGTGCTGACCTACCTGCATGCAATTTAGACTGTGCTCTATGTAAAAGCTGTCACTTCAATTGGTATAATATAAGTTTCTGGAAATCGATTCATGTTAAAAGTAGAAATACAGAAAACTACAGCTCTGTACTCACACTTTTAAAATAATCACATAAGGATTGTTCATTTGCCTTTCATCTGGCCTCCTTCTCCTGCCATTCAACCACGCCGTTGTTGCAGAGCTATCACGTGTATTCAAGGTCTGTTTGTTTTGGAATCGTAGCACGGGAGTATCACCGTATCACCACAGAATGGGTCAGGACATAGCGGGGGAATAGCGGCGCCCTCCATGGGCGAGACTGGGGGGATATATCTCCCCTCATCAACAGGAACGATTCTGTATTCCGCCTAAATTCAACGAGGACATTTTGGGTAAACTCTTAAGCCAAGAAATTTCTGCAGCCATTTTAAAAAGTTTCCGAATGTTAGTCTCTTGAATTCCTGTTGTTGGTGCCACACTGAAGTACACGTTGGGAGGAGGAACATACTGCGAATCTATTTTTGAGTTGAATGTCTCTTCCTTTTACTGATTTCACAAAAGATTCTTTCATATAGTGACGAGCAATTACCTCAACCAGGAATTAAACTCCACAAGCTTGAAGTAAAAGCCACCTAGTATCAGCCAGGGAAAGCAACGACATGAACACCCTATCAAATCAAGCAAAAAGCATAACTTTGAAGGCTTTCAATGCGTAGCCAAACGTAGCAAAGGCGTAGCAAATGCAAGTTGCTTTAAAGACTTTCTTTTAGAAGGTACACAATGTGTATTTCAGGGAAGCGAGAATCGTCATTTTTTGGAGTCAGGAATAGGGGATTGGCAATTTTTTGGCAACGAAATTTCGGAATAAATGACACCGGGATTCAGGAATGGATGGTCTGGAATTGGGAATTGGGCTAAAAACGTAGCTGGAATTCGGAAATCGGGGGACCTATTTGGTAACTTCCTGTCACTTGCTTTGTCGATTATTACACTGAATTTGTCACTATGTCTTAAATGAATTCAAAAGAAAGCACTTGTCTAACAATGTTGGTAGCTTTCTGTTCGCTAAACAAACACTTTTCACAGATGCTTCTTTTGGAAAACGAGATTCAGGACTCTAACAGTAGGTTAAGCCAGATACAAAAGGAAAAGCATTTTAACAGCAGATTAACATCAGAATTAACCAATTTTTTATCACATCATTATGGTTTGTCGGCATTTTATTCAGATTTGTATTTCTGGAATCAATTTTCTTGGTTTTGACATGTTTAACCTTTTGCATTCTCTTTTAAATATTTTGTGTTATCTAAGGTATCATGTTGGGCTCCACACCCTTTACAGAAAGCGTTGTAATACTTTTCTATGATGTCTTTTACCTTAACCTCGTCTACCTAAGCATTCAATTGGCCTAGCGTTAAAAACCTTCTGCTTTCTTTCGTTTTATTAACGTTTTTAAGCAAAGGTAACAATCCACAAAATATCAGTTTTTGGTATTATTACATATTTTTTTATATCAAACAATATTTTATAGCACTTCTTATTTCTTGGCTTATATATTCATCTTTCAAATCAAATTCGAATAGTTTCAGGACAATTATTATTCTCACAATATCAACTGTCACAATATCAACTTTAGCTTATGGTAAGCCAATTTTGCTTTTATGAAATCTTGAAAATCAATAATTTTGTTTAAAATCTTAAGGTCGATTTTAGCTTTATTCTTAGTTCCCCCTCTGATGATTCATTTAAATATCCTTGTCTCGGCAAATCTTGCTTTTTCTTTTTCAGGGCCTAGTTTTCAGTGCAGAATTTAAGGACATGTTCAAAAACGTGTCGCAAACGATTTTGCAAATTTTTGACAAACAACTGTATTGCCACTCATTTGTCACATTGTGCCCTAGTCGTTTGTCTCCTTTTTCCTGTGGCGCTTTAATTTCAATTTAGCAATGCAAATGAACTCCAATATATTGGAAATCCTTTACATAATTCATCCTCGATTCAACTCATTTTCATTTCCTTCTTTACCACTAGCTATTTCTTCTGCTCTTAACAAGTTAAATTTCAGTCTTTTATTGGTGGTTTCAGTTCTTTATTGTCATTATATCACCCATTGCTGTAGTTCTTCCTCAAAGTCAGCTTGACCCATCTAAATGTAGTTTGCTTGCATCTTTCTGAACTTTTCGTTCAGAAAGATTTTCACTAACCAGTCAACACACACATTAACAAAGCAAGTAAAAATGGGCTTAAAGCTCACCCTTGGTACACACGTATATTCTTTCTGAACGTAACAGAATTACCAAAGATCATTGATTTTTACTAACTTGACCATTTGTCGCGGAAAGATTTTTCATTCGGCATCAATAAACCCTCTCTGTTGGTGCACTTTCCATATCCTTTTCCAAAATCTTAAAGCAAACACAATAAGACTTTAATTTCACTCAGCGCCTTGTAGATGTCAGTATAAGGAGAAACGTAAAATTGTTTTCCAAGGCTTCTTTAAATCAAGAACCCTCTCTTTTTAAGTCCAACACATGTATCCTAAAATCCCAGAGACTAAGCAAAATTTTTAGACAAAAGATTTAGATGAAGAAGGATTCTCAAAAAAATCCCTCGCTTTTCACGTTCAGCCTAAATCATGCTCCCAGATCTGTCGTTCTATTCCATCTGTCAAAACCTATATTCCTTTAACATTTTTCAGTCCTATTATCACTTTCTATCTTCAGTTGCTCGATACGGGCTTTGCTCAAAACGTCCTTAATAAATACGTTAATTTTTCCTAGTAAATCGTACTTGAATTCCTAGTATTATTTTATTACATTTTACAGCACGCAATCTAGTATATTTATGAAATATTTTAGCCAAAATCATGTTTACCATACATCTTATATTGAAAAGATTGCAAAGCGCAGCTGCTCGCTATAGTTCAATTTCATTTTAACGATTCAGAAATTTAAAAGTGTTATAATTACCTGCAGCAACTTCAGGTATTCTTTATCAAAACAACTTCCCACCCGAGTCTTTGCACTTGTTTCACTTATACATGCAAACATCGTCTTCACCTTGAAAGGTAAATTATCAAAAGCCTATGCTTGACCACCAACAGAGCTTCGAAAAGACTCCTCAACATATGATTTTCATTGTTTAAGGCAATCAACAAATAGTAAAGTGGCTTCGGTCCATCAAAATTGGCCAATCCATAAGCATAATACCACACACACGTTTATTGATTGGCCAATGATAGCTACAAATTGATACAATTAAAATACAACTTTGTAGATTAATGTTGAATATTGTTGCAACGTTTTGAGCATAGCACTTATGAACTTGTTGATTACCTCAAATGGTAAAGGCAAAAATTGGTTTAAACAAGATAGGCAATGCTGTAATTATTTGAGAGATTTTCTAAAAAAGAAAGCTTTGATTTTTTCGTCAATAAATTATTAGTCTTCCAACGCCTCTGTATTTTTCGAAAATCGGTTTGGCGAAAAAATTACACGTTAGGCGCCAAAATATGCAATCATGCCTAGAACTATGAATAAGTGTCACAAATTCACCAAAAGCTGGAAATGATCAGCGGATCGAATCAGGTTGAGTTGGTTTACTCTTGTCTACTGCACGGGAAATTCTTTGAAGAGGACGTCTTACTCATAAATCTACAAGAATTGACAAAAATTAGAGAATTCAGCCCTGGTTGTCATCTGCTGAAAAGTTAGTCGTATTGAGAGCTCAGCTAATTGACTTGGTGCGTTTTATAAGCAGAGCAGTATCCTCAGAGGCATAGGAGCTTTTGAAGAGAAACCTATTCCCAACTATACATTGATAATGGGTTCCTCGTGTGAAGACTTGTTTACCAATTTTCCTTCCCTGGAGAAGTTAGTGCTCTATTTATGCTTCTCTTTGCTAATCATCATAGCTTCAACAATTTTAAATGGCACTGTCCTTTACATCATAAAGAAAAGACGTAGACTACACCAGCCGTCTTTTTATCTCATTGCCGCTCTTTCATTCTCGGACCTATGCGTTGCCCTGTTTGGAGGTACTTGTTTCATGCTTGCCAACGTCGTGGAGAAGTCGAGCAAATGTTATTTGGAAAACGTCGCTTTTTTCATAACAACATTCTTCACCACAAACACTACACTTCTTTTATGTGTCATAACCTACGATCGTTACAGCTGTATAGCAAATGTGAAATCACTTGGAATGCATACAAATAAGCGCAAAGTCAAGATTCAAATCATTTTTTGCTTCGTAATCTCGTCCCTGACAGCGATGACACAAATCCTGGAACGATGTTGCATCACTATTGCGTTAGAAATGCTCACCATACTCATCGTAACTTGCTTCATATTTATTGGAATTTATTGTTGGAAGCTTCGCAAGGCACTAAGCAATTACTACAAGGATAAACAACATTTCAAAAAGCTCTCAAGTGGCCTTCTTAAGGGCGTCAACCGTTCGGTTCTACTTCTAGTATTAAGTTTTGCAGTGTTCTATCTCCCAATGGTCTGTGTGATGGCTATCTTAATTGTATTTCATGCCACCTGTAAGCATCCTCCGTCAGTTCCAACATACTTTGTGTGGTGCTGCACCATCGGCTTTTTGAACTCTGTATTCGACCCCATAATATATGCATATCGCTGCGATGTGATCGGGAAAGAAATTCGACAATTACTGCGAAAAGCAAAAGCACGAGTTTAGATGTCTTCTAACAAAACAGTTGCTTGCAGTTAAAGTTAGTTAATACTTATATTGGTTCTTTAATACTTATATTGTTGTCACGTAAAAGGGTATTTGTCGTTATTTTGATTTTATGATCAGACAAATTTAAAAATCTTATAATTTGTTTACTTTTACACTTTTGAGGTTTTGTTTTACCTTTTGGAAAGGAGAAAAGATACCTACGCGGAATTGATCGTTAATTTTTCGTTGTTAACTGTAGTCGATTTTCAACATTGCGCCGTTATACTGACAATTGGCAATGAAATGTTAAATGAAAGAGTATATCAAAGTCTTGGAACAATATCCTAGTAGATATAATAATAATAATAATTAATGATAATAATAATAAACATTTTTGGAGCGCACATACAAATAAAAAATTATCTATCTATGGCGCTTTACAATGACAAAAGTTTATGACTAGCTTAAAATTTAGATAATTAATAATAAGTCCTTTACTTGTAAAAAATCTTAAAACGGCTAAAATGAATGTTTATGCAATGAAGTCCGTTTAACTAAAAGCAATTTTAAAGAAATACGTTTTAAAATTTTTCTTAAAAATATTCAAATTTTGAGATGTTTTAACATTGCTGGGTAGCATGTTCCAAAGTCGGAGAGCGCAGACTGAGAAGGCTCTGTCCCCATAATACTTCAATTTTGATCGTTGTTTTTGCAGGTTGATGCCATTCGCTGATCGTAATGAGTAGTTTGATTTCTTCAGCTCGAGCAAATCACTAATATAAGTTGGTGCTTGATTGTGTGATAATTTGAAAACCATGGTCAAAACTTTGAATTCAATTCTGTATTTGATAGGCAGCCAATGCAATTGTAATCCGGGAGATATATGCTCGAATTTTGAAAGGCCAAGGATGACCCTAGCAGCAGAATTCTGGACATTCTGCAGTGATATAAATATAATATATAGATATAAAACGATCATCGTCTGTTATCAGTTTTTCTCAAAAGCTTAAAACAATTTTATTTAATATAAACTATCAAATTTGATTCTGAAGCAATATTTATTGTCTTGTCACTCATGTAAATGATTAATTACATTTAAAACCACTTTAGAAAAGGGGGTGCTCCGTCCTCGATTAGTTCATCTACTGAGAGAGCTCTTCCTAAAAAAATTCCCCTACAAACAACATCTTAGAAATCGTTATTTATTGTTATTAAATAATTTTTATGCAATGTGTTAGCATTGTATGTAATTAATTGTAATGTAGAGTAATAAGATATTGTATGTTGAGGAATTTTAAAATATCAAAAAACTGAAACTGAAAACTGAACTAAAACAGTGTACCACAAAAAGATTAAAGCACAAAAAGCTTTGAGAAGAAATATTTTGTGAGTAAATTAAAATTGAATCTAAATTATTGAATTCAACAAAGCATTCTGTGACAAAAGGGCAATATTTGTTGCCAAAGAGGGCATAAGCTACATCAAATGAAGCATACTTCAGACCAAGCAAAAGCAATAAATGTCTTCAACCACAATATGGAAAAAGAACAGAAGTGTTCATTGAAAATCAAAACATGTAAATAATAATAATGATTGGTCTCCAACATGAAATAAAATCAGAGCCATTTCACTAACCGATAACCAAAAAAAACAAACAAGGGATAGCTTTGATAGTCTTAGACAAGAAAAAGGCTGAAAGTGTTTAGCCAATTGCTAGCAATACAATAGATATTGAACAAAATTAATATGGCCTAAATAGCTGGATTTTGCATGCAGCTTCAATAATCTTCTACTTTAAAAATGAAAGAAGAATACTTTAGCGCTCATCTTTAAGAGGTCTTCTTATATTATGTTTATGCATAACTGGTCAACAATTTTAATTGCTTCTAAAGAATATTTGGCGAGACAAGTGTCATACCACCACTGTTTACTGGTGTGATTAAATAAAAACATTTCTGTGATTTCACGACTATTATAAGCTTGGACAATTGCCATCAAAATAATTCTCTGGTCAAGATGAAAATATATGATTGATAGCAGGAACATCATTTTTCTCTAGGAAAGTTTCCACATCAATGAGACATTCAATTTCTTGATTTACTGCCATTTTCGCGGGCTTCGTTTATTGTACTTTACTTGATTGAATTGAATTGAACCAGAATTTCGCTATACTTTTTCAATGGATAATCTACGTAAGAGTTTCTCACCAGTTACGTCAGAGTTTCTCACCAGTTACGTCAGAGTTTCTCACCAGACACAAAAGAAGACAAACTTTAATTGTCTTTTCGACTCGCGCACGAAATTAATTTATTTTCGAGTTTTCACCAATTCATTGGTTTAAAACTAAAATTCTGCACTTTCATTGGCTGACAAAACAAATGCTTAATTTATTCCAAAGATGAAACAATGGCTCAGATTGAGGGGATTTTGAATCTCAATCAGATTGTCTTCAAACAGGCTCTTACGCATCGTCAGGCTATGCAACCTTACGACGACACTGTCTGCAACTCAGAGACAAACAAGGAAGTGTATGGTTGTCTTTCGAATAAAATTTAATATTTCAACCTTCATTTTCGCAAATTCATTTTTCGAGAAAAATGTCGTTCTCGCGTGGGAACGGTGACAATCTGGATCCGCCCCTGCACTCTTTTCATTTCGAGTTACGAATTCTGATGACTCCAATCTGAAGACTTTTCTGTAGACTTTCTGTAGAAAAATTTTGAAAGTCTGAAGCCTTGAAAGCTCTCTTTCTAGTAGACGAGATGACAAGGCTTCATAATGGGTTAGTTTTTGGATTTATTTTGTGAAAAAGTTAATAGAAAACAAAACTTCTCTTTTGTAACTTTTGTTTCTAATCGACCATGAAGGAAGATTACAAAAATCAAAAGTTTTCATTGCAAAAATTATTTATCAAGTGCAAGATAGAAAATGATATAAGGTTCTTCAATGCCATGATATTAGTTTTTGCTTAGACAGGCGATAGAGGGTCCCGTTAGTCACCAGTCAATATATTTGGCTTCAGATTTCTTTAATGCTTTATACACCAAAGCAAAATGCGTATGAGTTCTTAATTGGATTGCAGTATAAAAATGCCTGTAACAGAATGACTTGAAATTGTTCTCCTCTGTCAAACGTAGAACAGATTTCAATATCAAGGGACATTCGATGGCAAAAAGGAGAAGCATTATCAATCAAGAGAGACAATATAGGGATTATGCACAAATTATGTAATCAAAGTTGGGCAGTTTTAAAAAAATCTCGTTCCTAAAATTATCAGTTAGCAAGCTATAACAATGACCGTAAATGTCTGTGTTAATCTTCCTCTCCCGGTCTTTGATTACTTTCTGTGTCCGGAATGGTTCAGCCGGAAGGTATGAAGGTCCGGAATGGATCAGCCAGAAGGCATTAAGGTCCGGAATGGATCAGCCAGAAGACATTAAGGTCCGGAATGAATACGCCAGAAGGCATTAGGGTCCGGAATGAATCAGCCAGAAGGCATTAGGGTCCGGAATGAATCAGCCAGAAGGCATTATGGTCCGGAATGGATCAGCCAGAGGGCATTAAGATCCGGATTGGGTCAGCCAGAAGGCATTAGGGTCCGGAATGAATCAGCCAGAAGGCATTATGGTCCGGAATGGATCAGCCAGAGGGCATTAAGGTCCGGAATGGATCAGCCAGAAGGCATTAAGGTCCGAATAAATCAGCCAGAAGGTATCAAGGTCCGGAATGGATCAGGCTAATGCCTAGTCTAATAAAGCACATTTTCTGTTAGAAGACTTTTCAGAAATATATCAAGTTTTATAATTTAAAAACCCGTTTTTCTCGGATTAATACCGCGGCCCCTGAATCCCGCATTGGAAAAGGTTAATTATTAGTCTTTGGAGCAAAACAGTTTGTTAGTCAGCTATTCGTAACCCCTTCTGCACCCTCAAGCTACAAAACCCCTTTAACCTTGCTTAGCTTTGACCTTTGCTCAAATTTGCCCACCTACCTCTTCAGTGCTGGTTTCGTGCTTGGGCCAGATCGTGTTCAATAACACAGAACTGTTAAAGTTGCAGCTTTAATCACCATAACATAAATATAAATCAATTTCTTAATGCAAAAATTAAAAAATCTGTTTTGTCTACAGAAATCAGGAACTAAACGTACTCAGTAAGAAATCTTGAAGCATTTTAAACAATGGAGTTAAAGTCTGGAACAGTATACCTTTTGATATAAGGCAATTTAATGATAAACGTACTTTTTCGAAGAATTACAACGCATGGCTTCTAACAAACAGTGCTCGATCGGTTGATATTCTTCTTGTATATAGTCTTAACTAAAAAATCCTTCTCAAATCCTATTTTGGCAAACATTTATATTTCGGTCTTTTCGTTTATTTGTTTGATTTTGATCTAAATTTTAATAACAATTTAATTTGAATTTGAATAATAACCTAGCAAGTATCTTGAGTTCTCAAACTTGATTCTGTTACTTTAGTTCCATATTGCTTGGTTTCAATATTTTTATTTTATCTAATTTATATTTTTAGCTGTTGTTGTTATGTTCCTTCTAACACAATTTGCTTCATTTATATTGCAAATTGTTGTTAAATTGTGTTAAGGGCACTTGGCTCGATAGCTCTTCTGAGTTTTTTCCAAATGTCCTAAGCTTACATAATTAATTTCAAATCGTGTTATTAGTATATTGTAGTTAAAAATTTGAATCATTAATATGAAATGAAATTAAAGTTGAAAGTCATCCTTTTTAATGTGTATATGGCAAGCTTTGGGCACAATTCTATGAGATGCATATAATTCATTTTAGTCTGAAAGTTGGATTCTGTCAATGACAGAGACATGTGATGAAGCAATAATTTTATCACAGCTTTCTATGCGTAACAGGACTCATGTCTTTATCCAAAACAAACAGGGGCTGCACCCCCAATTTCTTTGCAGATTTTAACAAATTAGGCTACGCCTTTTGAGTCTCACGTCACTACATCCCTAATCCGGGGCCGTAGCTACCTCTGTTCTTTGGGGGCTCGAACCCCCCATAATAAGAAAAACCCTGTGAACGTTCTTCTAGCGCGCGCCCCTCCAGACCACTGATTTCTCCAGACCTCCACTGTATGTTCCTCAAGAGGAGGCTGTTGAGGCATGGTATGATAAAATGGCGACGCGTAGTTGTGGAAATTTGCTAAGGAAGTACTGTAGAGACATAATACGAAATGGTTACCTTGTTCAACAGAAAGGATTGCTCAGAGATCATAACATAGTTAGATATTACAGTAATGAAAATGTAGAGAACCATGATTCCAGGAATTCCCAAGAAAAGACTTTTGAAGAATTGCTTGAAAGCTCTCCGCTTATGAAAATTAGGCGTCCGCAAGGAAAGATCGTATCTGGCAAAATAACAAACGTTTGCAACGATGATCTTTATGTAGACTTTGGAGGAAAGTTTGAAGTCGTTGTTAAAAGGCCCCCAGTTAATACAGAGTAGGTATTTTACAACCAAATTTCAATTTCAATAGCATAATTGGGCTCCAAATATGGGTAGAAACTTACCGTATCAGGACATATGATATGGGTAGCAGGACAGGACAGGTGTACCAAGAATTTCTTTATGTGCGTTTTTAAGCATTGTAGTACACCCTAGAAAACAAAAGGTGATAGCCCACTGAAGATCACTATAACTACTTTCTGCAAGAACGTCAGCAAAATATACAAAATTATTACTTTGCATTTTATGGTTATTTCAGGGTAGAATTATTTTCTTTTAATTTACTAGTGCCCAGTGAGTGAATTCAATTCGATTCAACCCAATACCCTAATTAAATTAGAAAAAATCCACCCATAAAATTAATATTCCATATGTTTTTTTAGCCTCTTAAATACAAAGTAACTACGAATTGTATATAAAGAAAATAGTGAAAACTTTAACAAGATCTGAATATTTTTAATATACTGTTATGTCTGCTAGCCATTCACCTTGTTAACTATTAGTACGGAGAATTTTCACCCACTCTGTTTATTTCAGGCCCATAAGGATTTGGGTAATTTTCCGCCTGCCTTATTCATTCCAGACCCCTGTCTTTACAGACTTTATAGTGGATAAACTATTTGGAAATTTGAATATTTAGGTAATGAGAAATATCAAAGATAAAAACTGATATTTACTGTATTTATCTAGTTATATGATCAATAAAACTTTGAATTCTACAATTAGACAAATTCATGCAAATCTGCTAACAGTGAGAGCAAAGATGCAGCAGTGCCATTTGCCATATTTAAAAAAGAATTATTTATGATATCATATTTAGTAACAGCCTCTATTTATTTAATAATATTTATGAATGAAAGACATTATTTTTGGTGTCATGCTAAAAAAGGGTCAAATCAATATGCTAATAACCAATTCTCAGTCATTGAAAAAAAATCTTGCAGTCATGAAAATTTATTTCCTCAATGTTTGATGTATATACAGAACATCCCTATTTAATTTTGATACTTTTTTATTTATATACAATAATTGATTTTCAAATCTTCATTCAAAGAATCAAATATTTACTATCACTTTCAATAATATTTCAAATTCCTTTTCCTTTCAGAGTTTACCAAATTGGCAGGCAGGTTAAAATAATGCTTCGAAAATTGGAGATGACAGGACACTTTTTGGGTCAAAATAAACACATAACCTTACTTGAAGCAGATGGGAAATTACTAGGCATTGACAATTAACAAAGTTCAAGACCAAAATGGTTATGGAAGAGCAATGCAATGCTATAACATAGTTGTTCGCAATCAGTTTTAGCATACTTTTCTTATTATCCTGTGTGTCAGTATGTGCTTTTTATCATCATACTTTTATGGGATGGGAATGTTTAGCTTTGCAGATTTTTAGGACCTAAGAAGAAATAATATTGTAGAGAATTGAATTAACTTACATTAGATGCTCTCTTGAAGAAACCAGATCTGTCATAAGCTAGAATCAATGCTGTTTTGCAGTTTCCACCTACAAACATTAATATTCAATATCTTTAGTATGATGGTGTACTAAAATCCTCTATTTTTTCACCAATACTTTAAAGATTTTGTTACAATTCAATAATGATATACCTGTAGCAATCTTTTTAACATGTTACCAAACAAAAGCATCACCATAGCTCTCAATAGATTATATCTTCACTTACCTTAACTAATTTAAATTTAAATTGTCTACTCCCTGTAGTGTCAAATATTTTCCATTTTGCATGTTTGTATTCCTTTTTGTTAATATCACCTGCTTGCTTTCTATTGATGACTTCTATTCAAACCTTGGGAATCTGCAAGTACTCTAGTGTGATATGATTCTTGCTATTTGAAATTTGCATTAAGATCAAATAGAAATGCTACCATAAAAATTGGCTTCGCTCTTCTTTCAATTGACAGCAAATCAGGCAAAAACTGCATACTGTAGCAAAATATTTGGAAACACAATAGACTACCACATCCAATTTCAACTGCTGGTAGGATTATGATGAAACTAGTCTACAGCAAGCATCTTCCAATTTATAGACACACATTAAAAAGCAGCACTTGCTGTTTTTGTGAATTATATGATGATTGTTCAAACATCTCCATCATTCAACCCCATCTTTGTTGAAACCAAACTTCTTAAATCATTTTTGCGACTTTCTATCTTACACTTTTGACATTGACCAAAAGAAAAGGAACTTTCATGTGAAAGCCTCAAATAAGTAGCAGAAGTGCAAGGATTCAATTTTGAGTTCATTAAATACAACTATTTACAAGTAATTTACCACAACCCAACTACATAAATCAAAGTGTTAAACTGACAATGAAACTTAAGTTTCAGTTTACAGGTGCTATAGATCTCTAATGAAATCTATAAAAAACATTTTATTCTAATTCACTTCCCTCGTGTATCTCAATAATTTATCTCTTTGAAAACAGAATTATGAATTTCAATATAAATATATTGTACTTCTCATAGAGTTAGAGGACTAAAATAGTAAAGATTTCATTTATACTGGGGGGGGGGGGGGGGGGGGGGTAGGTATGGTTGCACGAGTGTGCAATTTTCAGAAGTTTTCAGAATACAAAGAAGAACCTATCTCCTAATTAGACATATAACAGAATAATGGGCTTTATGTTTCACATTAAAACCCTCAATTATACCCAAAATGTTTCAAAGTAAGGACAAATTACCACCACTTTACAACCAAAGTAACCAGCCCGAAATATTTATACAAAAATTAACAAAGCATTTTTACGACAAGCTTCAAACTCCTAAAACAATTGCTGAAAAATTTGACACAGAGAAATGTGCCTCCAAGGCTACACAAGGGGAAATTACATAGCATAGAGTAAAGGAGGCGCTCGTTGAAATTAATGTTGCTGTTGACCAACAACCACTCATCTGGACATCTTGCAAAATAGGTGATTTGCTTTAAGGACTGAAGGAGAACTCAGTCGCTCATGGCTTCCCAAATTGTTGCAACTTCTCCCTCGTCAATTGTCTGGACAAAACAAGGATGTAATGACCTCTTCTTGAAGACAAAGTATGCCATGATCTTCATTTATCTTTTGAAAGCTTGTACTGAAGTATAAGATCAGTCTTGCTTTTCCAAATCAAATTTTGTACGGTCCGTAGATCCATTTTTGGGTCCAGCACCTGTAAGAAGTACAAAGCTATGTGATTTGCTCACAAGCACTTCTTTGCTCACTGTCTATAGTAAAAAAAGGTGTCACTGCTGCGGTTATCTCAGAAAATACCTGGCAGTTAATACAATATTTTTTGTAGATCAAATCCCAGGGCAACTCATATCAACTGCACTGCACTGTCTATACTATTCTAGGAATAACACAAAATACAATTGCTAAATTTAAAGCAACTGAAATCAAATGCTTTCTTTTGTGCAGCAAAAACCAGTGAATGAAAAAGCAAACACATTTCTGTTTAACAAAGACCCTACTTTGCTTGTTTTTAAATTCTGCAATAAATTATTGTTCATAAACTTTATATTCATGTAATCGCCAGCAAGGAACGCTGCATGATGGGTTTGCCATTACAGATAATTCATTCTAGCTCGTCATTTGAACTGTCTTTATTTTCCATATTTTTTGTGAATCCCTTTAAACTTTTGTAATTTTCCGATTAATTCATTCTTATGAAAAACCAATAATTACTATAACCTTAGAAAAACTTTAGTCAAATAAACAATTGATATCTGGAATAAAACAGTATAAAAAGGTATTAAGTGAAGAGTTATGCTCGAAACGGTATACTAAATATTCATTTCTTGTACAAAGTAAAAGATTTTACATTTGATAATGTAAAGGAACATTGACTCGCAAATACTTTAACACAAGGTTTACACAAAACTGGTGGAAGTTTCCTTGAAAACAACTAAAGGTTCTGAGGCGATTCAAAATCGTTTAACTATAACCTGCTTCAGCAATTATGTATAACGTCGAAAATCTGTCGTCAGATGCTCCACTGACATTAGCTAGCTGCCACAAAAATCAACTAAAAACGAACAAGTTGCATCATTACGCTTAGCACCAAAGCTGTTACAATTTGGTGACAGGGGTGGGATTGACTTTGTTGCGGGGAATTAAAAATGAAAAGCAGCCAAACTTCGCCAAAACGCAGACAGTTTTGCAGCTTTTGTTTATCTGCCCAACCAAGAGAACATTAGAGATATTGGTCTTCTTGTTATTTTGGTCAAACTATTCGCTGATGCACAACAATCTAATTGGGGATTTGTGTGCCTGTAATCTCTTTTAAAACAATTGTGACAGCAATTGTGCGAGCACTTAAAAAAGTATATGATCCAATTAAAAAGCTTATATGCAACAAATTGTGCATTACTTAATACAGCAAAATTACATTACAATCAAACACTATCAAACTGATACTATCAAAAAATATTGATACTATCAAACAATGTCCAGAAAATACTACGGTTTTACGAATGTGAGCCGGAGGAAGGTTGCCCAACGATTCTGTAGTGATAAGGAATGCCAATGAATGACAAGGGTATATAAAGCGAGACGAGTGTACCCTTGGGCTTTGTCTTTTTTCCTAACAAAGCATGACGGCCAAACTACATAAGTTTTGCTTGAATTCAATTAAAGAAACCTAAATTCATAAAATACAATGAAATTTTCAGGAGACCAGATAGGGCAGAATTTCCTCCGGAGATAGACTGAAATGTTTTCTTAACTCTAATTAATGTGTATCAAAATAGCAACAGGGTGGCAGCCAAAATTAGTTAAGCATGTGACGACACATTTCCTACCATACAGAAGGATTTCAACCAACAGAGGTACGCAGAAGAAAAAATCTTCTCATTGGCAGAAATGATGTCTTAAATGAAACATGAGACTTGACAATCAATGTTTGACGAACTTCGATGGAAATCAAGGGATTCACCGCCTTGCAACCTAATATTTGATATTGGCAAAATTTGCTAGATATATTTGCTACTGAAATAGGACAATGATGAGAAATATACTCGCAGGAAATTGAAAATGCATGTTTGAATACCATTATGCTTGCAAGATATATTGTGAAGATTGAAGTAATGTATGATGAAGCTTACCGTGTCATTGCAGTACAGTTCAACTTTAGCCTCTGCGAGGGCAGCTAACTCTTCAGGATTCAGTTGCGTCTGACTCTGTTTTTCAGCATTTTGTGCTGTTGCTGTTGTTCCCGATGGGGTGTTTTCTGCCAAAACGATTTTCTCATAAACATGTTCCATAACTTTTCGAATATGAATCATATCACTCGCAGAAAGCCGATCACTAAAAAAAGGGAATCGAAATATAAAAAAATCAACTGAGAAGATGGCGTTTGTTTCAAGATGGCCGCTATCATTCAATTCGATACTGTTTTGCCAGGGTTTAGAATACCTTAGTTATAAGCTCAAAAAAACTGATCAGTTCTATCAAAAGTGAAACAGGATAAATGAAAGTGACATTACGAATTACAGCAGGGTTGCAAAGGTAGGTGAGCAAAAGTAGTATTACTGAAATATTGTCCTTCTAGCTTTGCCATTTCAGTTGATAGCAAAACCTATGTAACTTAGGCCGAAGAAATATTGTTGGATAGGACGTACCGCATCTTTCCTACCAATGAAAGATATATGGCACGCATCTCAAACCAAACATTTCGTGCTTCAGCACGTATTTGAAACCGCATTGCTACACCTGAATATTACATGTTGCCCCGATTATCGCATTAAGCATGAATCCCGCAGTATCAACGTAGAACCTTCCTGTACTATACACAAAAAGCAACTGAAAATTATACACGGAGAGCCAAAACTTCGTGTTTGAATTGGCAAGAAATTTTGCCACTAACTGTTTCATTTGACCAATCAGGATTATGGTCCATAAAGTTGTGATGGTCACACATTGCAAGAAAAGTTGCTGTTCATTTTCTGGAGGTGGTTCAGTGTGTAGCGTTAAATCACTGTGGCACGGAAAAACAACGTTAGAAAGACATTGCTTGTCCTATTGCTTGGCTGTGTCCGTTTACAGATGTGTCATGTAGGGTGTGCCGCTAATATGGATTCACTAATATAATCGACATTGAATTCCCTCATTAAGCCATGATAGCCAACCGACCTGTATGCTTCATTTGACCATATTTGACGTATTGGGGATGTCAAAGACCGGATTGCAGTGAAAAAGAAAATATATTGGGAACAAAGAACAAATACAGTTAATGAGACAAACGCACTATCTGAATGAACTGCGGTTTCTGAAAGACGTTTTCAACATAAACCTTAATAAAGCCCGATTTTAAAACTGCTTTCCATGTCCTATTAAAGAAATAATATCAGCTCATATGAAGTCATTTACAGGCTTATTTCTGGTTTTTCTTCCATATAAGTTGTGGAAAGACATTTTCCTTGTTTAAGAACTGGGCTGACGTATATTTTGATATTCTTGGTTGAATTTACTGCCTCAGAATCAAGCATAAAAGATTTAATATGAAATCATAGCTTTTGAATACCACTGCAACCTGTATGTTTGCCCGTCAATGTTAGGAAGCTTAACTTATGTTTACAAAATCATTGCTACTGGGCAAAGTACAAAGAATTTTTCCTTGAATCACGAATTTGATGCAGAACCATCTGCTGTGGGGGACCTCATACATTAACAGACTCCTTTTCTGGTCGTTTCTACAGAAGAGGTCGCGCGAGAATTTGAGTTTTTTAATTGAAAGTGAG